AAAAAAAACTTGTTATACAGTCTCCATCCTTATATTATTCTCCTGAGTTTCTTTTATGTTGTACTTGCATATTTCCTAAAATCACTGGTGGGATTGTCCTAGGCTTAATCTCCACGCTCATCTCTACAGTTTTAAACGTGTTCAACTCCAGATTGTTCCGGCTGCACTAAAGAGCCAGTTGTTCAACCTCCTGTAACTTGATGTACTGTATATCAAGTTACAGTAAAATAAAAATAGGGACTTTCAGTCTCCCTTAACACTTCAAAGTGTCTGTCCTTAATGAATTTGGAGATTAAGCCTAGGACAATCCCACCAGTGATTTTAGGAAATATGCAAGTACAACATAAAAGAAACTCAGGAGAATAATATAAGGATGGAGACTGTATAACAAGTTTTTTTTTAATTTGATGTATCTGGCAGGGAATTTTAAGTGTTGTTGCTCCCACACAAGCTACCTCATGGCAAAAATCCTATGAATATTACTTCAAAATTAAGCACCAATGAGTTGATCCACCAATGGATCTAATTCCTCAGTTAATGTATAGGATTATAGCCTCAAAGGTCTATCCCAATTATGAGCCTGCTGATAAATAATAGCCAGTCTGCTTCCATGAAGAGCTATGTAGCAAAGACTATCAATAATTGATTTTTTTCCATGATCCCAAACTTTGGGAACATAATATAGCTTTGCACGACTTACCTTTAGGAAATCAAAATCATCAATTTCCTCAGTTTCCTTTATTATCATTTCTAGTGTCTCCTTTGCTGTATCGATATAGTCTTGAAAAATAACCATCTGTTCATAAAGATATTCCATTTTTGTGTTCTTTGCTTCTTCAAAATTCTGTGACTTTCTCTCATGGTGACCAAATACCATCTTTACCACATTTTCATTTTGCTCTTCTAATAACTTCTCCTTTTCCTTACAGTTGTCCTAGGAATAGAAGTCAGAAGAAAACATAATATTCTTGCATGAAACATTAAATGAAATTTCTTTGTAAATGTTTCTCTTTTAGGAGGAGAGACTTCTAAGCTACTTTTCCAGGTAAAAATCTTCAAAATAATACTATTGAGCACATTCAACCAAAGCAAGACTTCACAATGTAACTTGGGCATTTGGTTCGATTTTCAATGGGTTCTTACAGTTAAGAAGACCATTATATTGCATCTTATGAGGGGAGACGTACTAGATGTGGTCAAAAATGTAAAATGCCATCCATAATGGTGTAATCAAAGCTATGTTTTGTTTTTATCTATGTTATACTAAAAAACAGGCTGTGCCCTGTGGACTCACTTGTATCTTGTACTTCCACATAATAGAAGTTATGGTTTCCTTCCACATGAAACTTTTTAGGCATTTGTAGAAGGGCTTCATACTATGTCTAAAAGATTTATTGGGAAAAAATACTGATGTAGAACAAAAATCTTGTTGTTCTACATCAAGTTTTTCTGACAAGATAGAGTTGCTATCAAAGTAAATTTACAATTGGCAGGCCAAAAATTATTTGGAAAAAGATGTTTCACTGGAGCTACAAAATAAATTGGCTGATGTTTTAAAATTCAAAAGGGAAATACAAATGATTGACCAAGACAATTTTTTTCCTATTGGATTTACAAAAAGAGCTTATTAAAGCCTTAAAGAACTCTGTACAATGGGACAAAGAAGAGAAATTAAATCCTATGATAATATTTAAATGATCTAAAGACAAAAAGGAAAAGGAAGAAATATATAATTGGTTTAATTGATCAAATTAAAACAAAATGTGTTATGACATCTTGGGATGAAGAGATAATTGTTTATAAATTTAGAAGAGACATGGTGTCACAAAACATGTTTACACTTATTATGATATAGGATGGAAGTCATTTTTTTAATTCTCTTTCCTTTTTTAAGTTTAGTTGGTATTAGTTTTTATCAATATAATCAAAATTCTTAAGAGAAATATATATATTCAAAGAAGAACAGCTTCACACATATGGCTAAATAACAAATCACTGCCAAACATATGATTACAATAGTATTAAACCTAATAAATAGATATGGAAATCACAATGCCTCGGTTCACACAACAGACTAAAAACCCAAAGCAAACATACTATATTATGACTTAGTATGTTATACGAATCCAGGAAAGATAATCCTAATTTCTTGTCAATTTTTTTCTCAAGGTTAAAAATACAGTAATCCAATTCCCCCTCTCTTCATAAGATATTTATTCATTTCCAGTGTTCTGAACTCATTGTTTTGAATTCATCCCAAGTAATCTGAATCCTTTTTACATTGTGGTGTATAAAACATGCACTATGTTCAACCAACAAAGAAGAGATATTGTCCAATATGTGAGCTAAGTAACAACATTTTGGCTAGTTCATATCACAAATAAACAAGTCATAAGATGACTTCAAGGGCTGTGTGAGCCCTACATTGTGAGGCATGGTAAAAGCCAGCCCTGACTAGGAGAATGATTAAGCAAACTAGTAAGTTCTGTCTTAATTAAAACAATGGCACCCATTCAGCAGGTCCCTTCCCCAACCTACCTCTAGAGTGTTAAACAAAGCTTCTATTTCACTGACACATCCTTCAATTTTCAAAGATCTTTGTTGCAAAACATCTAAGAATCCATTCAACTGGCCCTGAAAGAGATAATATATATATTTAAAATCATAATTGCCTAAAAAAGATTTATAATGGTTTCATGCATAGAATCGGATGCTAAAAATTGTTTAAGCTTTCATGAAAGGTTTCTCAAAAGCCATCATTGCATCACTGATACACAGCAAGAGACAGGCTCATTGGCAGTCCTGAAATCCTCACCTCGGAACTGAGGTCTGAATGAAATATTCATTTCATGCTATTGACCTACATGCTTGTTTCCTAAGAAGTAGGACGTATTGTTTTGGACTTACTATTGTATATTGTATGTGCTATTGTATATATACTACATTTTTTTCAGTTGTATTGGGTAGTATTTTTTTAATAGCACATGAATCAAAATGCAAAATCAGGAGATTTAAACAAATTGTTACGAAGAATCTATTTGGCAATAAGATTCATTAAAGTAGAATTAAAATGTGTGCTTTCTTGTTCTTCCTTCCTTCTTTCCATCCATCCATCCATCTTCCTTGAAAGCTTTTGTCTATTTAACCTGTTTTTTCCAGCTTTGTGTCTCCAAATAGTACTTCTGCTTTGCATTCAAAAAAGTTATTAATTTTAAATCAATGCCTCAGAAAGCCCCCAATTTTGTAATGGTACCAGAGGTGGGTTGCTGCTGGTTCAGCCCAGATCGGGCGAACCGGTAGTAGCGCCAGCAGGAGACACTGCCCACCCACCCGGATGCTTCTGCGCATGCGCAGAAACATTGCACAGAAGGCACATGAAAGTGCGCCCAAAGCAGTAATAAAGAAATTGGCAACCCACCACTGAATGGTACATGTAATTATATAGAACCAATTAAGTAGGAAATGTATGTATCAAAGCCCAAGGGACAAATCCTTCAAACCTATACAGTATCTGACTTTCAACAATTGCCGAAAGTCTGTCAGATAACCAGTTTTTAAATGCACCAGAGATTGATCTGAGCTGTTTTGACAGTTTTTGGATCTATTTGAACATTTAGGATACTCTGAGCACAGGATGTTTACAAGTTTACAAGGCTGTAGACTTCACAATGAACCAGCAGCCATTAGCTGAGTACAAGGCATTGTCAAACCACCAGTACTTGTCATCCAATAATTGATCAGATCTTTCCCCTCAGTTCTGTGTTTAAATGAAACTCCTTCACCCTCTTCACAAAATTAAATGGAAATAAACAGCTAATATACAGTATCCCATTTCTATGTGTACTGTTTTGACAAACTTCTATATATGAATATATTATATGAATATGTTATTATTAATAATATATTATTAATATATTAAGTAGTATATTTGGGATATTAATAAGCTGGTGTGCTCAACCAGGGCAACTTTAAGATGTATGGACTTTCAGAATTCCTCAGCCAGCATGTGACAGTGCCCCCACAGCAGGAGGCAGGTAAACCAAAGAGCCCTGCCCCTACTCCAGGTGAGAATACAGCAGGCCCTCTTAAGCCCTTGTCTACACTTTCTTTATTATTACATTTATTTTTCACCAATCCCACAGAGTTCATGGTGACTCTGAGTGGCATCCACTTCCTTGAAATAGTCCTTCTGCCTCCACAGTACAACAGTGTTGCTGCAGGAATTGATCCAGCTGCACTCAATTGCAAGGTCCCCATTATCACACCAAGTGATCAACAGGTTGCTCATCTTGTTACGCTTCCTGGATTGCGCCTTTATTTGGAGAGTCTTTGTGAGTTTGCAAGTTTGGAATAGCAAGCAGTTTTTCATTCTAGCTTCATCGGGCGGTTTTCTGAAAGATTCTATATATCAGAGTTTCCCAACCTTAGCAACTTTAAGGTGTGTGGACTTCAACTCCCAGAATTCCCCAGCCAGCCATGGGTGTTGAAGCCCACAGGGCTTGAAGTTGCTACATTTGGGAAAGCCTACTTTATATTAAGAGGGACATGGTGGCTCAGAGCTTGTCAATCAGAAAGGTCAGCAGTTCCGCAGTTTGAATCCCTAGCGCCTCATAATGGAGTAAGGTCCCATTATTTGTCCCAGCTTCTGCCAACCTAGCAGTTGGAAAGCATGCAAAATTGCAAGTAGAAAAATAGGGACCATCTTTGGTGGGAAGGTAACAGCGTTCTGTACACCTTCGGTGTTTAGTCATGCCAGCCACATGACCACAAAGACATCTTCGGACAGATTTGAAACAGAGATAAGCACCACCCCACCCCCTAGAGTTGGGAATGACTAGCACATATGTATGAGGGGAACCTTTACCTTTTTACCTTACCTTACATTAAAGACACAGGTTAGAGGGACGCTATAGAAGGGGAAAAGGCAGAACATTGTATCTGGTTCCTTCAGATTGCAGGCATCCTGTTTAATCAAATAAATGCTGTTTTGTCATATTTATTCCTGATAGGGTGTCTGTGAAAGGGGCACATTGGGAGGTGGGATTTTGAACATGCAGTCGCCATCTTGACATTTTTTTAGTTCCCTTGCTGGCTCCCCTGCTTCCTTTATTGTTTGACTTGCTTTTCCTCCACCTCTAATGCTGCTGTGACAAAACTGCACTTCAAATAATTGAAACTATACTCATGTAATATGCTGGGGGGTGAGGGTGTTCAGGTTCCCTCCTTGACTTTCCTTCAGAATATTTAGCCCTCTGTCTCCAAATAATTTGCAGACAACTGACCTTAATGAAAATCAAATATCACTATTTGCTTAAAAGGAAGATTAGGCTTTGAAATTAGCATATGTGAACCCATGAATTATAAAAATGCATACAGCCGAATGCAATGTTATATTCCAATGAATACATATTTCAGGTGGAAACATTTGATTTTAAAGAACATCCACTCCTAGCAGCTTATTATGCAGAGCACATTCTGTAATTGACAAAAGCTAAAATGGTTAGTTTTAGTTACCTGTACATTTTTTTTTTACAGAGGGATATGATCAGGTATAAATACAGTAGTAGAAATGAAGCAGAAAATGCCATCTAAATGATCTTTCTGCCTGGTGGAGCTATACTCGTGAAGGAGACTTTATTACAGAGCTAGAATTCATTTCTGGCTCTCCTTCTAAATTGCAGGGCCAAAGGCAGATGTCACAGAATGTCCTTGGGTCCTTTGACTTTCAAGAAACTAATTTAGGGACAATTCCAAGGCCTATGATTCTGCTGATATTCTTAGCAGCTGCTTATCGTCCACCACAGTAATATGGAAAAGCTACCTTATCCCATGCTAGGTCCTTTTATATGGGCAATTCCCATAATTCTAGCCAATATCCTATGATTTGGAATTATATCTGCCCTGGGGCATCAGATTTGTGAGACTATTATATAAATCAGGACAGCAGCAAACCTTTAGAGCAGGGGCAGTCAATCTTTTTATACCTACCGCCCACTTTTGTATCTCTGTTAGAAGTAAAATTTTCTAATGGCCCACCGGTTCCACAGTAATGGTG